CAGCTCTCATCATGGTTCAGTATTTTGCTGCCTTGTTGATTCTCTGTATTTCTGGCGGTTCACTGGGAACAACCACCTCACCTCAGCAACAAAACACTGAAAAAGTAAAAGATTTATGTGAGGTAAGAAATGCATGAAGATCCCAAACCTTATATTTTACTACTTTTATCATCGCTATATCATTATTCATTCCAATTTATTTATAAAAGTCCTTTTTCAGAATGATCTGACAATTGCTTATTACAGTGTTCCCTCGTCCTATTACGACTAATTGAGGTCATGGTATTTAACGTCCAGTTTTCAGTTTCCAATTTTCATGTTTTCTTCGTCTCTACATTAAACTACAAATCATCTTTGCTTTCAGCGATCTATAGTGGGTTTCCCGGGCATCCCAGGATCCAATGGCATGCCGGGAATGCCAGGCGTTCCCGGTCCACAAGGACTCCAAGGAAGGGACGGTACTAAGGGAGAAATTGGTGATAAAGGATCACAAGGAATGCCGGGTCCAAGAGGAGACAGAGGGCGCGAAGGGCCTCCCGGGAAGAGTGGACCACGAGGAATCAAGGGAATAATAGGTCAACCGGGACTTGTGGGTATGAAAGGAGAGCGAGGCATTGTGGGAAATCAAGGAAGAAAAGGAGACAAAGGAGAGAAAGGAGAAAGCGCCAAAGCAAGTCAAGCAAGTGTAGTACCACAAACCAACTGGAAACAATGTGTGTGGAAATCCGAAAGCAGCAGTGATAACGGAAAGATTAAGGTAATTAGCTAGAATAAGTATCATAACACACTCCAAAGGAAAGTAATTCTTTTCTAAATTAAAATATTTCTCTTCTTTCACCCACCGTTTGCCAACACATTGAATTTAATAGCTAAGCCGAGTATATTCCCCTTTACTTTGGTTCTTTTTTAACGAAAAAAGGAAAACCATCGTGCGTGATAAAATGATTCCTGACCATATGGATAAGGACAACAAAAATTTAAGCTATTATAGAGTTTTTAAACATAAGGAAGTAATCTTGACTGGAGTTGTTAGAATCAATCATTACAGACGGTTGCTCTCGTTACTTCAATATGTTTGATTTTATTCCAGGACTGTATGTTTAACAAACTGCAGTCTAATTCAGCGCTCAAAGTCTCATTCCAGGGAAACATGAGGGTCGTCGGTAATTATAGGTGTAACCGATGGTATTTCAAGTTCAATGGAAATGAATGTAGTGGACCAATGACGATTGAGGCTGCTGTTTACAACGCCTGGCCATCTGGGAACCCTAATCTGTATCATCATCGGTCGTTTGCTGGGTACTGTGAAAACATTCCACAAGGCGCTGTTAGAGTGGAGTTATGGGTAGGAAAGTGTAGTAGCTTCACCTTGGGTAATGCTAACACTGGGTGGAATTCAGTGTCCCGGATAATGATTGAAGAAGTATCTAGGTCCCGGTCCTAATAAGAGGAGTCTTTAACTTTGGCGCTGTTTCAATTTCCTTAGAATAGCATTCCACAAATATAGACTGTAAGGCGCAAGGTGCGAAAGTATTGTTTTTGGTTATTTTCTTTTTAGCCCTTGTGGCTACTTCCGTCGCATTAGATGGTCAATAGTAAACTCTTATAACAGTATCATGATTTTGTATTATTAAGTTGACATCTTAGTCCTGTGCAGTAGCTCTTTGCTTTGTCACGCAGCGCTTCTTTAGTTCCTTTGTGGGGAGGCACCTTTTTTGACGACACAATGATCGGCTGATCGAGCTCGTAGGGAATTGGTCTCCCGGCTCATGCAGCCGTTTTGTCTTGTAACGTACCGCTCCTTCTCGTTGCGTGACCAGACAAAATGGCTGTGACTGAGAGTGATTGATTGATGATATGTCATGGATGCAAAATATATCACTACAGCTTCAGAGGAACCCATTCTCTCTTGGCTTACCATGTATTCCATGGGATTGTCATTCATTTCCTATAAAGATGTAGGCAAAGTAAAGGTCTTGGTATAATCTTTAATCTCAGCGAAAAAAAATGTGCTGAAAAGGTAACCTTTGCATTTAAAATATTTTCGACTGAAAAATCTTTAATTAAGTCCGGAAGTGAAAATAATTTTTAAAATTTAATCGTGCTTTAATTAAAACACACGGCACGATTCCTTTTGTAGCCAAACCGCTTCGAGTGAAAACCATTATTAAAAACGGATTAGAATTCGAGGATTAAAATCACACCTTGTAAAATATATATCAATTAGCTAGGAAGATGAATATGATTATAGGATAACTTGATCGCGAGATCGCGCGCGAGGGAGAAAGGAGGAGAGAAAAGCGTTCCCCTTCCTCCTTTCTCGCGCGCCTTTAAGTGCTTCTCACGCACCTAAACCATTCCTTCCCTTCCCTTTCGAATGTCTTCCACAGCGGAAAAAGAGAGGAATATGTGTTTACTCGTAACATTGAGATTCTTGTCAACAAACCTTCCCATTACTTAAGGGACTGGTCAAAAAGTATAGGGGGGGGGGGGGGGGGGG